AAGGACAAGTCCATGAATCAGAAACCCCCAGCCTCGATCCTGGGTGACTGACAAGCCAGAAAACTTAATTTCCCTCTTTGTGGGAAAGATCTTTTAAGCCACCATTTGATCGCCTCAGCAGATTAGGCCAGTTCTGAACTGCTTTGGAGAAATGTGTTCCTTTGCCCAAGGCCCCCCCACCTTTCCGGGTGGTGATAAGGCGTCTGTAAACACTCTGAAACTTTCTCTCCAGACTTCTTGGCTTTGCCACTTTGAAGTCGAACTGCAGGAAGACCTCCGTACGAGATGAAAATGTCTTGCCAACTGATAAAGAATTGCGGATCCAGCTGAAATCCACTCAGTCATAGGGATTAGCCAGCCTGAGAAGGTTTGTTTGGGTGGAAGGCTGAGTTGAAAAACAGGAGGTTTGGATTCAATCAGAAACGAACAGAGAACTCTAATCACCCAGCACCCACCTCCATCCCACCGTTGGGGGTGCCCAGGCAGGCTGGGAGGGCGCCACCTCCCAGTTCACAAAGATCTTTGCTCTCACAGCACGTTCCCTCTACATGGCGGTTCTTAAACTTCGTAGGGCATGTGCGTCTCCAAAGAGCTTGTTCCATGCATTGCTGTGGTATCTTATTTGCACAGGTGGGGCTCAGCGAGTTGGATTTTTAGGAAGACCTGGGGCTTCTAAAGCAGGTGATGTGTGTGCATGCATGCTAAGTTGTGTCCAACTCTTTGCAACGCCATGAACCATAGCCTGCCAGGCTCCTCTGTCCATGGGATTCTCCAGGCAAGAATACTGAGTGGGTTGCCATGCTCTCCTCCAGGGAATCTTCCTCACCCAGGGATAGAACCTGCATCTCTTACGTCTCCTGTATTGGCAGAGGGTTCTTTACCACTAGTGCCACCTAGGAAGCCCCAGGAAGGTGATGACCAGACTCTTAAAAACACCAACAGTGGTAAATACCACGATCTATGCAGGGCTAAGGTCCGTACCAGGACTGCGGGCAACGTGTGGATAAACAGCCCCTGCCTCTAGACCTCCGGGTGCCACCAGCTGGCTTCTTCTTGTTCGGATCTCAGCTAAGCAGACCTCTCCTAACCCTGCAGACTCAGATAGCTACCCGTCCACTCTACCGCCTGATCTTAGTTCTCTGCATAGTGTTCGCCACTAGCGGACGTTTTAATCATTTACTTCTTCACTCAGTTTGTTGCCGGTCTGCCCAACTATTCCCAATGAGTGCTGTGCTTGGGGAACTTGTATCTGCTTTTTGGGGGTAGATGATCTGATGCCTCTGTTTTATTGAGCACTGTCACTTTTTGTTACACTCAGGACTTCCGTCTCTGCCGGCCACCCTGTGGTCATAGGTCATGATCTAGGAAAGCAGTAGGCGTACTCACTCCAGGTGTCTGCAAAGTGGCGGTTATCCTCTGAGCCAGGCAGAGATGCTCTAAAAATGAAAAGATGCCTTTGATCCAGTGTGGTGGCTCCCAGGTGCTCACCATGGGTTGATGGCATCAGAATTACCTGGGGAGTATCTGAGTATCTGTACAGATTCTCGCCACTCCCTTCCTGGAGGACCTGTTTCAGGAGATGAGGAGGGGGTCTGAGGACCTCTGCTTGTCAGAACGTAGCCTGGGCGTGCTCACACTCGCAAGCTTGCCGAGCGCTAGCTTAGCGGGTCGGTATGGAAACACCGCGTTCATGGGGAGAGACCTTCACTGCCTGCTCCCAGGGCTTCTCAGGCGCGTCACCGTCCACATTTGGGGATGGAACTCTTTGCTGGGAGGGGCTGGGCTGTGCACCCTAAGATGTTTGGCATCACCACTGGCCATCCCTCTAGACGCCATGACACCTCCGTCTCAACCATGACAACCAAAACTGTCTCCGAGGCGTTGGTGGTATAGTGGTGAGCATAGCTGCCTTCCAAAACTGTCTCCGGACATTGCTTCATTTTTCCTGGGGGGCAAACTCACCCTGGCTTAGACCCACTGCCCCAGGGTCTCAGCTATGTTTCAGATAGCTTGTCGGAGATCTCTGTAGTCAATGGTCTAGAAGATTCCATCACCCAAAGTCTACAAAAACAGAGGTGACCCCTCAGAAGGCCAACTTTTGTTATGCTAAACAATTGCCTAAACCCATCCATGCATATGTGGTGGATACTCATGTACCTGGAAATCAAGAACAGCTTTAAACTAATCAAAAAGAGATATCCTGGTCAAAGTGTATTTGAAGACCGCCATGTTTTAAAACTCGACACGACTTAAAACAGAATCCTATAAGTTCCTCGGCTAAAATACTTTCAGGATGTATTAGGTATAACAATAGTTTGCTACATGAAAATGGCTTTGAAAAATCTTAAAAGTGTTTTAAAAGAAAAGGGACTTTTTTTTTTTGGTGTGAGGCATTAAATTGGATGTGAATATGACAGATTTCAAAGACTGTCAAAATAACAAATTTACATCATAAATGCATCCGCTTTCCCTTTAAAGGCTTTTCCACCATCAGGAAGGCGTTTAATGGTGAGCAGGTTCAAAATGTCGCCAACTCCCACCGGTACAGAAGGGAGGCAGTCCCCACCAGAGTCTCGGGACTTCAGACAAATTCTCTGCCTCTTTTCAACTTAATAAACTTCACTCCTGTCAAACTGCAGATAATGAAAGAGACGGCACCATTGTTTTCTCCCACATCTTGCTAAGAAAGATATCTCCCAATATTTTGGGAGGACCACTATACCAAAAAGTAAACTTGAAAGAAATCCACCCCGCCGTGACTTTACTGGATCAAAGACAACGGAATCTCCACAGAAGCATGGTTCTGAAGTTTGCAGCGCTTTCGTTCAGACAGAGGCTCATTAAGAAGCATCTAGCGCGTTTGATTGTTTCGGAGTTAGCCATCTAAATTTTTAATCATGTGTGGGTGCAAGATAGTCCTAGCGTTGTACCCAAACACTGCAAAGCCTTTATATTCTGAAGAGTCATGTCAATATCCTCTTTTCCTGAATAGTCAGCAGGTAGGCTCGCGGAGGGGGTGGCTTCAAACGGCTCCCTTCTGTGACGGAGGGGTGGACAGTTTCTGAAGTTGCCTTTGGAAAGAGAAATAAGTCCGAGTGTTTTGAAATCTGGGTTCCTTTCTTTTTTGAGGGAGTGAGGCTGCGGCTGTCTGTGCTCCCCCCTCTCTTCTTTCCGCAGAGATGAAGCTGCTCTTCTTCATAAAGAGGAAAAGAGGGCTTCGCTGGGAGCCTGGCCTCTCCGCCTAGACTCTCCTGGAAAAGAAGCACGTTCTCTTACTCAGCACGCCCGGGTTAAACTTCCTCCAGCCGTAACCGCACGGGGGTTTTTGTTGTTCCCTCCTCTTCGGGCACAGTCTGATTTCCTTTCTCAAGAGACTGAGGAGTCTGCAGCCTCGGCCAGGGTCCCAGAGCCCTTGGCGAGGCGCTGGTGGAGGTGGGGAAGGTGGGCCGGAGCACTTACCCTGAGCTCCTCGGCCCTCAGGGCTGTGAGTCCCGCCTTCCACGTCCACTGGAAAGCCTCCATCCCCCGGCACCTCCCAGAGGCAGAGGGGCTGGAGATGCAGCCTCAGGCAGCCCCTCCCAGACACAACCCCAGAGTGGGAAGGGGAACTTGCAGGAACGGCCTGGGGGGGCTGCCTCAGTGGCTCAGCGGTGAAGAACCCACCTGCCACGTAGGAGACGCAGGAGACGTGCGTTCGATCTCTGGCTCGGGAAGACGCCCTGCAGGAGGAAATGGCAACCTGCTCGAGTATTCTTGCCTGGGAAGCGCCATGGCTGGAGGAGCCTGGCGGGAGACAGTCCGTGGGGTTGCAGACAGTCAGACACGGCTGAGCGACGCAGCACAGAGAAGAGTAGCCTGGCGGCCCTGGGCTTTCACTGCTGGGGCCCGGGGTTCAATCCTTGGTCGGGGAAATCAGATGCCACAAGCTGAGTGGCGTGGCTGAAAAAATTTTTTGCATGATAATTTTTTAAAAAGGGAAAGCGTAGATGGTTGGTGGCCTCTCACTGTCTCTGTGAGAACAGTGAAAGGGCTTTTCTTTCTTTACGTGACAATTAGAACTAGAGTATGTTTGAAGGGGTGGCCCTGGTTTTTCAATCTAATGGTCTAGTACTTTCGCTGGAAAGGGAATGGTCCTCCTCTTGCGTCTCTGTCTGGATTTCTCCGGAAAGAGAATGACCAGATGAATGGAGTGGTACGGGTGTTGGTTAAAAAGGACTGAAGCTCTGTAAAAGCCGCTCACCCTGTGTGCCACAGTGGTTCTCCTCCCGAGATTACAGGAGGGTTTGTGACAGTGAAGGCCACCCAGACGTCGCGGCCAGCCACATGAGCACCTGGAAGAGGGGCCAGTATGCGCTGAGCTGTCCTAAGGAGGGGGCGGATCTGCTCTGCTGGCTGCTGACTAGTTCCTGGTGAAGTCCTGGAGAGCGCTAAAACAGAGTTTTAAAGGATAGCTGGTCCACACTTAGGAGGGTACGTGGTGATTGTGGAAGAATTAGAACAGGTTCCCACGACCACATGAGTCAAGCTCATCTCAATTTCGTCTTCCACGGTCTTAATCTGGCAAGCCAAGGAGATGCAGGAAACCCTGAAAACTGAGCTTTGTACAGTGTTTGGCAAGACCTCTCATAAAGTCCGAGGGGGACTCTAAGGCATGGGAGATGGTACAATCAGGTGGATTTATGACATGTTGACAGATCGTACTCAGAGCATGCTGAAACAGGGAGGTGGGGCTGCTAACTGAACGCCTTCAGGAGTCAGACAGGTGTCATCGACGGGTAGGACTGGCGGGGTGCTTGATGAGAAACAGTGCTGGGGACAGAGACAAACGGAGAGCCCATGACATGAGCTGAGTGCTCACACACACCTCCAGCTGGGTGTGCAGTCCACAACACACACAACCACCCAGAGCTGCTCTGGTCATGCCTGCCGGTTGTCGGCGTGTTGGATTGTGGACCCAGTGTTGAGATAGATTGAGTCTTTCAGGAGAAGCTGGAACCCAGATGTTGGCCACTGATTCAAAGTTAAAACAAGAAAGAAAATACCATGCAGGCCAAGCAAAACATCCTGCAGGCTGTGTTTGGCAGCTGGACTATCCCTGTGTGATCTCTAACCCCAGGAAAGATTTCCGGTAGCACACGGCTATATTGTCGGTCCCGTTCTACTCAGCATTTTTAATCAATGACTTGGATCAAGCTCTAGAAATCATGGCTGTTGATCCACAGCCAGAGGGACCGTTGGACGACTGACGTGGGATTCTAAAGAAGCTCAGCAGAGCAGGACAGAGGCGCTTGTAGGTAGACACACAGCCAATCGCATCCTTGGGCCCACAAACATCTAACACCCAAACACAGAAGGGATTAACAAGAGCGCGCGTTAAGAAAAACATGCTGTCACGTTTCAGCTGTTTGCAGATCAATGTGGGACGATGGTGTGATGGGGCTGCCAGGAGGCAAAGGCAACCTCAGCCGGCGTCAAACACAGCAGAGCCCGCCCGGCTCAGCCAGCCACAGCCGGGGCGCTGACCTGGGTTCCGGGAAACACGCGAGGAGGGAGGTGCGGAGCCTGGAGCACGCTGGGGGCCGTCACCAGGCACGGGCAGAGTACTGGAAACTCTTCAAGTGAAGGCGAGCTGACGGTGTTAGGGCTACTTTGCTTCGAGGAGGGAAGCCCTGAAGACACACAGACGCTGGGTTCCAGCATTTAGGGGGTTCGTTCGTGTGGGAGGTCAGCATTCCTCCTAGTGTGTAGATTAATGCCAAGAGGGGAGTGGTACAGAGACCCAGAGTTCAAGTCGACATTCAAACACCTTTCATACACATGTCTGGGGAGGCTGTCCAGAAGGGAAATTGCACACCCCCCAACTGCTCCATCCCTAAAGATGGAAAGCTGAGGGTGGGAAACCTTTAGGATGATGTAGAGGGAACTGGACTGTTAAGGGTGGTTATTAGAATAGGACTGATTCACTGGAAGGACTGACGCTGAAGCTGAAACTGGAGTTTCAGTTTGACCACCTGATGCAAGGAGCCGACTCACTGGAAAAGACCCTGATGCTGGGAAAGACTGAGGGCAGGAAGAGAAGTGGGTGGCAGAGGATGAGATGGTTAGATGGTATCAGGCTGAATGGACATGAATTTGAGCAAACTCCTAGAGGCAGTGGAGGACAGGGAAGCCTGGTGGGCTACAGTCCATGGGGTCTCAGAGTCACACACTTAGCGACTGAACAACAACAAATTAGAACAGGCCCACCTGAGGTGGGATGCAGACAGAGTCCGGGGGGGTTGGAGGGCCTTCCGAGCTCCTGCCACACCATGAACTCCTGGCAGGGAGAGCTGGCAGAGAACAGTGCGTCCAAGAAGCTCATCAGGGTGGTCGGGGAGGCAAGAACAGTAGGCACTCAGGACAAGCTGAAGTGTCAGAATCGTCACGAGCCACAGTCTAAGGGAGATGAACCCTGGTACATGGTGTTGACTGAAGATGGTACATCAATCCTGTAGGAAGATGCAGGGACTGAAGTTCAAGGTTCATGGAAACACTTGGTCTCTTCTTGGTGGGTGTCATATTTTACAGGTTGAACCACAAGTTCTAGAACAAAGGCAACTTGAATTCTTAAGCCAGAACCCTCAGGAATGAGCTAGCTCAATCTCTTTGTTGCGTGAATTAGGAAACTGACTCTCACAAAAAGGAAGTGACTTGCCTAGGGTCATGTAGCTGGGAAACAACAGAATCGGAACTTGACTGGGGTTTCCCGACCTAAGATGTTATGGTGATGGTCATGCTCGGTGTGGATACTCTGTACAAAGCTTAACCTCAGTATCATCTTTATTCTCAGAGTCAGCAGTTGCCCCCATTTAGGGGCTAAAAGCATGGTCTTGGTTGCGATTGTCGTGGTCTCCAGACAGAGATCTCAACAGCTCAAGACTTGAGCTTGGCGCACTCATTCTGCGTCTCGCTTCTTCCCCCCAAGGTAGGTTGGTTCCAGGATTCACCATATTCTTTCCATGTCATTGCTCACTGCTTTTTAAAATTTACATACTTTTAATTGGAAGATACTTGCTTTACGATGTTGTGTTGGTTTCTGCCATACGTCGGCATGAATCAGTCATAGGCATACATATATCATCTCCCTGTTGAACCTCCCTCCCACCCCCCACCCCCCAGGCCCAGGCCCACCGGGTAGACCCCTATCTCGGGGTCTCGGAGCCCCGGCCGCTCCTCTGCCAGGGCGCGGCTTCCCGGCCGGCCTGGAGCGCGGTCCGCAGGTCCTCCTCCCCGCCGCCCCCGCGCTCCGCCTCCGGCCGCGCCGCTGCGTCCACCTCGCTGCCGCTCCAGGCTTCAGCTGAGACGGCCGCGGTGCTCCCAGCGGGTCGGGAGGAGAAGAACTCTCTCTTCCCAGGCCTGGAACACTTCACAGGCACCTCCCGGAGCAAGAGGTGAGCTGGGCGCTCCGTGAGGCCAGGAGCCTGGGCTGCAGCCCAGCGGCTGCTTCTCTGCTGCGGCCGTCTCCGCACACCTGCTGTGGCCGTCTCCGCACACCTGCTGTCTTGTGGTGCGCCGTTAGCAGAAGAAGGAAAACTGCCTACACAACAACAAGCACGTTGCAGCAAACAGGTCTTGTAATATTTAGCATCACTGACACTATGAATGCGTGTTGTACGGCTGCATGCATACATTTATCAATAATAAAACACATCCCCAAGTCAACTTCGATGCAAAGACATGGAGAGAGAAAGAAGAGAGTATGCATAAAATGCTGCTCGTTCTCCTGGGTGAGACATCATAGTAATTTTTGTGTGCTAAGTCACTCTGTAACCCCATAGACTGTAGCCCGCCCGGTCTCTGTCCACGGGATTCTCCAGGCAAGAATACTAGAGTGGGTGGCCATGCCTTCCTCCAGGGGACCTTCTTGATCCAGGGATCAAACTCATGAAATTTTTAAATGTTCTGTATTGTCCACATCTCTTGTGTGTCACTCATAATTAGAAAAAAATGAGTTTTTTTCCGAAAGGGAGGGAATAGGGCACAGCTGGCTAGAACCCTCTCCAGCTTGGGGGGGCACTCGAAGAACAAAGAGACCCCAGCGCCCATGGGTCCTTGGGGACCTCCTGCGGCCACCGGGTCTGGCTTGATTGGGATCTCGGGCTTGGCTAGGCTCCCACCAGCTTGAGGAGTCAGGAGCTTCCCAGGGGTCACCATCTGGGCTGGAAGGTCAGCACCTTCTCCTCCCAACCCAGCGCCCATGGGTCCTTGGGGACCTCCTGCGGCCACCGGGTCTGGCTTGATTGGGATCTCGGGCTTGGCTAGGCTCCCACCAGCTTGAGGAGTCAGGAGCTTCCCAGGGGTCACCATCTGGGCTGGAAGGTCAGCGCCTTCTCCTCCCAACCCAGCGGGATGGGGCGAAGGGGTTGTTGGGAGAGAGGCCCAAGGAGCCAGGAGGAGAACGTGGGCCGTCAGGAAATCGGGGAATAAACAAAGTGTTCCGCTTTGATCCCAGGCAGGGAATGGGAAGCGCTGACTCTGGGAAGATGAGCCGCGTCCGGAGACCTCCTCAGCCCACCTGAGGCGGAGCCAGTGAGAGTCTGAGCCCGGCACAGGTGGACGGGGCACAGGCCCGGGAGGCAGCCCGCCAGCACCCCCTAGGCCCCGGGAGGCAGCCCACCAGCACCCCTAGGCCCCACGTCCCCGTGGCCACATCACAGCCCTGCAGTGGACCTCCGGCCTCCCTGCCCTGCCCGTCCGCAGCTGGCCACTCTAGTTTGGCACAGGCTGGCCCTCTGTCCAGACTCCTCTCCCTCTTTTAAGAGTTCACTTTTTAAAGAAAGCTTCCTCTCGCCGCTCTCCAGAGCATTCTCAGCCCTCCCTGCCCTGACCACCCCACTCTGTCACGCTACGGTTTGCCTCGACGTCCCCCTTATCCTCTTCCTGCCCCTGGTACCCTATGGGCACCCTGTACCGCATCCATGCCCTTTGCACTCTGAGTGCGCAATGGACGGCTCCAGGGAGGGAGCATGCCACTTGCCTGGACGTCTCTCCTAAGACCTCGGTCGGCCCAACCTTGCTCGGTGTTCAGAGTGACTCGTCCGGGGAGTCCCGGTCACCCTGACCGTCGTGGCATTTCTCCGGGCCGGGAACCCCTGCTCATGGTGGACGCCCTGCTGGCCTGCTGCTGCTGTGCATCTCAGGCACGGAAATCCATGGCTTGACTTTGTACAAAACCCCCTTCCCAGATGCAGCTTGTGATGGTGCATTTTATTGGTCAGTCCGAGCGTGTAAGGAGACGCCAAGAGAGCTGGGGAGACATTAGCTGCGTGTGTGAGGGCGTTTCCGGGAGACATGAGCGTTTGCGTCCCCCACCAAGGCGGGTGGACGTCACCCAATCCACTGAGGTCCCCGATAGAACCAGATGGAGGAGGAAGGCGAATTCTCTTTCTCTCTTACTGAGCTGGGACAGCCACCTTCTCCTGCCCTCAGACACAGGCTTTCAGGCTCAGATCACATCATCTGTCAGCCCCACCCCAGTTCTCAGCTACTTTGGACGTGGATTGCATCACACCATTAGCTTTCCTGGTTCTCCAGCTTGCAGCTGACCGACTGTGGGACTTCTAGGCCTCCACAACTGTGAGAGCTAATTCTGATGATAACCCCCCATCTATTGATCTGGGCTTCCCTGCTGGTTCAGCAGGGAATCTGCCTGCAATGCAAGAGACCCAAGTTCGATCGCTGGGTCAGGAAGATCCCCCGGAGAAGGAAATGGCACCCACTCCAGTACTCTTGCCTGGGAAATCCCATGAATAGATGAGCCTGGTGGGCTACAGTCCATGGGGTTGCAAAAGAGAAGAATTGAGCGACTGAAGAACAACAATAATCAAACTATCTATTGGTCTGTTTATCATCTGTCTCTCTTTCCATCCAGCTTCTATCTACCTATTCTCTCTCTCTTTCTATCATCTATCTGTCCATCCATTCATCTGTCTTATCTGTCTACCTTCTATCTACCTATTCTATCTTTCTATCTACTATCTATCCACGCTCTTGGTTCTGTTTCTCTGGAGAACCCTGACTAAGGCGCACGTCTATCCCAAAGATGTACCCATTAGACCCAGGAGGCTGGAAACATGTAGGCTCTAAATGTGGAGCACCACAACTATTTTTGAGGAAGAAATCCAGAAAACAAAAGCCAAAGCAACTGCCCTTGTCCATCATGACTCCCCAGACTTGGATTGACAAATAACAAAATTGGGAATAATAAGCTTTCAAACTCCCCTTTTCCTTCTGAGACTCACTAAACACAAACATCTGGGTTGATTCTGGGGACTGGCAGAGTAGAATTCCCCTGGACTTGGGAGAGAAGGAAAAGAACAGGCTTCGAAATCAGGCAGATCCAGGTCCCAATTCCCTGTCCAGTCACCAGCCGGCTCTGTGACTTTGGGCTAAGCCTCCAGGTTATCCTCTGCTGAGGGAGATGATGCTATTTATGTCTCACGGTGTTGGGAGGGTGTGCGCTGCTGACCACCGTCCGGCAGAGAGCACAGTGTCTCAGACAGTGCAGGCGCGCATTAAAGCCAACTTTTGTTGGAAGTCCATCAGCTTGATTCTAGTCTGAGCTCAAGTTGACTAATTTCTGGCTCTCAGTTGCTTTGTCCGTAAAATGGGAGAGGAATGGACCAGACTCTGCCCTCTAGTCATGCCGACCTCCTTTTAATTCCTTGTATGTAGTTGCTGCCTCGCTGTGGGGCCTCTGCGCTCCTAGTTCATGTTACTTAGCGTTAGACTCAACTGCAGAGAGAGAAAACCCAAAGGAACAGCAAGTTAACGAGAGAGATCTTACTTCTCTCCAAGCCCCAGTAGATGCTTTAAGATAGTCAAGCCTCCTACTTTATTGTTCACCATCCTCAACACGCAGTTCTGCCTCATGGTTAAAGTGGCTGCTCAGCTTCTGCCATCACGTCCATCTTCAGCCGGCAGAGAGCTGAAAAGCACAGGGCAAGGCACACCCTCTCCCTTAAAGACCTTTCTCAGAATCCGCACGACTCTTCCCTGCACGTCAGAGGGTGGAGGCTGTCACGCTCACTTTCTAGGGCTGCTATGACGAGAGGCCACAGACTGAGCGGCTGGCTGCGTGTGTGCTAAGTCGCTTCAGTCGTGTCTGACTCTTTGCAACCCTGTGGGCTGTAGTCCGCCAGGCTCCGCTGTCCATGGGATTCTTGAGGCAAGACTACTGGGGTGGGTGTCCATGCTCTCCTCCAGGGGATCTTCCTGACCCAGGGATCGAACCGCGTCTCTTATGTCTCCTGCCTTGGCAGGCGGGTTCTTTACCACTAGTGCCGCCTGGAGAGGCCTGAGTGGCTTAAGCAATCATGTCCGACTCTTGCGACCCCATGGATTGTAGCCCGCTAGGCTCCTCTGCCCGTGGGATTTTCCAGGCAAGAATATTGGAGTGGATTGCCATTTCCATCTCCAGGGGATCTTCCCGACCCAGGAATCGAACCCAGGTCTCCTGCATTGCAGGCAGATTCTTTACCGACTGAGCTATGAGGGAATCTCACATCTCTAGGGGCTGGAAGTCCAAGATCAAGGTTTGGTTTCTTCTGGGACCGCTCTCCCTGCCTTCTGGCTGTGTCTTCACTTGGTCTTTTCTCTGTGTTTTATGTATGATATGTATGTCACGTCCAAATGTCCTCTGCTTGCAAGGACACCAGTTTTATGAGATTAAGGCCCACCCTGAAGACCTGATTTTAACTAAATTGACTTTTTAAAGACCTCATCTCCAAATACAGTTACATGCTGAAGTACTATAGGCTAGGGCCTCAACATAGAACTTTTGGGAGAACATATGTGACCCGTAACAGCTATGTTTAGTGACCTACTTCCAACGACTAGATTATGAGGACAGAGAAAAAATGTAACTTTATTGTAGCAGCACCTGGCAAACTCTCCTCTGGCCAGGTCCCAAGGTCAGCCTCATCAGTGCCAACTCATGTTGATGGTACAGCCTTTGGTATGACCACAGTTTACCTCCATGGTCTTCCTTCCAAAATCCATCACCCCTGTCTCACTGAGAGAGAAACATGAGGTAAACCCACACGGAGGGACCAGCACTCCTCAGAACGGTCAAGGTCACCAAGTCCCAGGAAAGTCCGAGAGAGGACGCTCATGGCTACATGCAACGTGGGATCCTGAATGGATCCCTGGAACACAGGCCAGATTTTTGGAAAAATTAATGAAATCTGGATAAAATTTGCAGTTTCATTAATAGCAAAGTATCCCTGTTTCTTTAGCTGTGGCAAAAGTACGTAGCTACGTAAGAAGCTGCGGTAGGAGAAACTGGGTGTGGGTGTGCAGGGCCTCTCGGCACAAGCTTTGCAACTTCGCTGTGAATCTAAAACTATCCTAAAATTAAAGCTTCCTTTGAAAAAATAACCCACCCTCCTGGACTTACATTTTAAAAAATTATTTATCTATTGATTGCTTGATTGGGGTATAATTGTGTTACAATATTGTGTTAGTTCCTGCTATACAATGAAGTATATTTATTTATTTTTATTAAAGTATAGGGGCTTCCCTGGTGGCTCAGATGTCAAAGAAACTGCCTGCAATGCTAGAGACTTGGGTTCGATCCCTGGGTTGGAAAGACCCCCTGGAGGAGGAGATGACAACCCACTCTAGTATTCTTGCCTGAAGAATCCCATAGACAGAGGAGCCTGGCGGGCTAGGGTCCGTGGGGTCGTCACGAGTGGGACACGGCTGAGCGACTAAACCACGACCACACGGTGGGTACAATTACAGTCTCTGCCGTACAGCGGTGATTCAGTCATAGACACATTGCCTTCCTTTAGAAAGCATTCTTTCCCACTGTGGTCTATCACAGCATACTGAATATGTCTGTAGTTCCCTGTACCACACAGTAGGGCCTTGCCGCTCTCCCATCCTATAAACCAAAGCTCTCACCTGCTGCTCCCTCCTCTCTCCTGACCCCCTCCCTCTTGGCAACCGCGAGTCTGCTCCGAGTGTGGCGAACTTACATTCTGATTGCGACCGGGGTGGGGAGAGGACAACCGACACTGAGCAATAAAGAACCACATTAAATAAGTTAGGAGGTATGTTGGGAGGAGATAAATACCCTAAATAAAAGAGCGGGGAGTGGGTGGGGAGAACGGGCCAGGAACGCTGCTGCAAGGCTACATCCTAAATAGAGCGAAAGCGCGCAGAAAGGACCGGCCCAGGGCTGAGCCAGGGCGGCCCCATCTTGCCAGCGTTTTGTTAGGCTGGTGTTCAGATGAGTCGCATTATATAAAGTGCGAATGAATAAGGGAGGCCACAGAGGGGTGAGCCTAACGTTCTCTGCGTGTCAAGAGGAAGTCGATTAGGGGCTTTCCTGGGGGTTCAGTGGTTGCGTCTCCACCCTCCAACGCAGGGGGCGCAGGTTCGATCCCTGGTTGGGGACCTAAGTCCCCACATGCCAAAAAACGCCCCATGAAACAGAGGCGATACTGTGACTAATTCAATAAAGATTTTAAAAGTGGCACACAACAGCAACAAGAAGAAATCTTCTGTTAAAGAGGAAGTCAGACTGAAATATTTTCCACAGACAGCCCTCACAGCGAGAAAGCAGAATTCAGGAGCACACCGGAGCCCTCGGGCTGTCTATCCCACGAAGAACCTGGGCAGCTGACTTAGAAGAGCCCGCTCCGTCAGCTCAGAGGCCCAAGGTTTGAGAGGATCGGTTTTAACATTCCCATTATCATGATAAAGAAGCACAGGGGAAAGAGTGAAAACGACTTCAGGAGCCCCTTTGAGGAGCAGACCGAGTGTCATCATTGTCGGAGCACTTCTGCAAAGGAGCTGATTTCATCCCCGTTTTGTAGGTACAGACGCCGCGGCGCGGCGTGCTTAAAGAGCTGCCCAAAGCCCCGGGGTTGAGCACCAGCTACACCCGCGCTGGTTTCCTTCGACGTCGCGGCCGAGGCAGCGCCGGCCCGCCTGGTCGGCTCCCGGCGGCTCCCTTGAAACGGGCTGGCCGGGCGCCCCCAGCCCGCCCCGCCCCAGCAGAGGCCGCAGAACCAGAAAGGCCCCGTTCATGCGGTCCCGCAGGAAGCCGGCGCTGAAAGCAAACACGCGGAGCCCAGGACGGCGGCGCACCGCGCCTGAGCCTCCGTCTCGCCGGTTGCACACACTTCTCCAGCGCATTGAAGTCTGGTAGAAATCGTGCTTCCTGGGAAGACATCAAGGAAAATGTGCCAGGAACCGAGCGGCAGGTCCTACTCCGAGTCCTCGGCCCGCTTTTTGAGGCTTTCTTTTTCCCCAGGGCCTTTCCTGTAAAATAAGAGTTTCTCCCGCCCCACTGACCTTGTTGGCGGCGCTGGCCCCGCCCCGGGACGGCGAGCACGTCTGTGCTGGGTCTGTTCTTTCTGCCATTGCCTGGCTCTTTGAGCGCGGCTGTGACGTCTGAGCAGCGGGCCCGTCTGATCCAAGTGCCGCTCGCCGGCTCATCCGCTCCCCAGGTATCAAGAATGAGGGCAGTGGGGCCTGGGGGCCCTCGTTAGAAGGGGCGGCCGGCTCTCCCACCGGTCAGAGCAGGGAGGGCAGCCCCGACTCCACCGATGACGGGTGTTGAAAGAAATCTCCAGGGGCGAGTGAGAGACGCCGACGGGCGGAGTCAGAAACAGAAGGTTAAAAAAGACAAGAAATGCAAAAAAAAAAAAAAAACAACCCAAAACCCAAACCGCACAAAAGCCTTCTTTCCCACTGTCTAAGTGGCTCCCTTTCAGGACCCGAGGCCCTCCGGGAAAACGAGCTGCGAAGAGCAGACCCTTTGGTGTGTAGCATCTTCCCTCCGAGGGCAACGCCTCTGGCCGTCGGGTGTCCGACCCGGAGCTCTCGGCCCAGCTCAGCCCTAGCTCCGGAGGGCAGGGAGGCCTTATCTCGGTCAGCGCGGCCATGGCCATCCGAGCAGAGGGCGGTGGGCAGCTCCACCACAGCGGAGTCCGGGAGCCCCCCTGGATGTGGATGGGGCAGCCTCGTTGGAGGGAGGGCGGGGGGAGCTGGGCCCTGGAGAACCCCGCGGTGGCCGCGCTAGCGCAGCGCCAGGCCAGCCGGGTGGTCCCTGGGAGCGCCCGCTCTCGCGAGGGGCTGCGTACACCCGCTGGTGGAGGCGGCGCTGGCGGTGGGCGTCGGGGCCTGGCTCTGAGCCCGGCTGACCCAGGCCGACCTGCGTGGGCTGTCTCAGCTCTCTCGGCTTTGTCTCCTTTTCTCGGAAATGGTGATGATTCCGCATCTTCGTGTAGCGTGGAGCGCGTGTTTCCTTGAGCACCTACTGTGCCCTGGCTGCTGGAGATAGATAGCAAGACGATAAGAAGACAGCGGGCAAAGACTGCTTGCTCTGCTGGGGAAGATAGACACACGGACCAATGACTAAAATCCAGGGCGATGAGTGCAGTGATAGGAGTGGGCATCCCATGGGGGCGGGCAGGGAGTCTTTCTTGCATGGGAGACCACGGAAGCTGCCTTTAAGCTTCGAAAGATAACTTCCGAGTGTGATGGGCAGATGGGGGGCAAAGAGAAAGTGGTGTCATGGGTAGAGACACAGTGATGCTGTCGTCTACACTAGAATCATCTCAGTGGAAGCTGGATGGAGGTGATGCCATATTGCTGATGTTCCCAGGCATCTTGTGGATGAAAATGAAACTGATCTCCGGAAGAAGATAACCACCCAAACACAAAAGAAAAGAAAGTTAAAGGCAAGTGACAATCTTCCAGTCTTAACCTCCACTATTCTAGAAAGTATAGTGATGATTTGTGTGCAAAGGTTTGAAATTTAAAAGTACTGAGTTCCTGAAATTCAATAAAATATTTTTATTATTGTACTAATATTTATGGGATATTTGATATTTATTAATATTTATGGGAGGTGGAAGGGAGGTTCAAGAGAGAGGGGACGTGTATACCTATGGCTGATTCATGTTGATGTATGGCAGAAACCAGCACAATATTGTAAAGAGGGAGATTTTAATATGTCTCAAATAAAACAGGGAAATAATCAGAAAGAATATGATAGATTTGAGCAACATGAGTAGCAAACTTGACTTAATGGATATATACATGAAATGTTAGAATCAACAATTTGAAGCACACATTTTTTTCAAGCATTTGTGAAAAAAAGGATTTAAAAATGACTATATGCTGGACCATAAAACAAGTTTAAAACTATTGAAATCATGCATAGTAAATCCACTGACTACAATGCAATGAAACTAGAACAATAACAAGTAACAAGACAATAAGTAGGAAATCCCCATGTGTTCATAAATTAAACAACGTATATTGCTACTAACCCACAAGTAAAAGAATAAATCACAATGGAAATAATAAAAAAGTATTTAAAATGAATGATAATGAGATGTAACAACATTTGTGTGATGCAGCTCAAGTGGTGCTTAAAGGAAACCATACAGCTTTAGTTTTATACATTTGGAAAATAAATACCTGAAAATCAGCGATCTAAGTACCAAACTTAAGAAGTTAGAAAAAAAGAACAGTAAATAAGCCCCCACTAAGTAGAATGTAACAAGAAATAAAGCTATTTTCAGAAATTAATGAAACAGAAGGGCTTCCCTGATGGCTCAGTGGTAAAGAACCCACCTGCCCATGCAGGAGACCTGGGTTCAATTCCTGGGTTAGGAAGATCCCCTGGAGAAGGAAATGGCAACCCACTCCAGTATTCTTGCCTGGGAAATCCCATGGACAGAGGGGCCTGGCAAGCTTTAGTCCATGGGGTCGCAAAAGGGTCAGACACAAGTTAAGGTCTAAACAACAACAAGGAAGCAGAAACCAAACAAAATAGAGACTCTATAAAGCCAAAGATGATTCTTTAAAAAGAATGTTGTTGTTCAGTCACTCAGTTGTGTCCGACTCTCCCATGGATTGCAACATGCCAGGTCTCCCTGTCCTTCTCCATTTCCCAGAGCTTGCTTAAACTCATGTCCATCGAGTCGGTGATGCCATCTAACCATCTTGTTCTCTGTCATTCCCTTCTAAGAGTAATTCCCTGGTAAAATTAATCAAATAAAAAAGAGAAGGCACAAATATTGGGCTCCAGTATCAGGAATTAAATTTAAAGGAAGACGTCACTGCATTTTTAACAAGAGGAGATATTATAAAGAATTTTATGCCAATAAATTCAAATGTAATGGACAAGATTTTAGAAAAATTTAACTTACCAAAAGAGACACTAGAAGAATTGAAAAATGTGAACAGTCCTAAATTAACTTTAAAAAATTAATCTGTTATTTAAAAGTTTTCACAATGAAAGATCTGGGTTGAGAAGGCTTCACTAGCAAAGTCTTCCAAACATTTGAGGGAGGAATAACACCAATTTTACATAGACTCTTCCAGTAAATGAGAAAAATATGTTTTTCAACTCAGTTTATGAGGACAGCATATCCTTGACACCAAAACCTGAAAGGAAAATTACAGGTCTATGTATCTAATGAATAAAGATGTAAATTCTGGACAGAAGGTTGGAAAGCCAAATGCTGAGATACAAAAAAAGATAACATATGACAATCAAGTTGAATTAATTCCAGTAGGGTTAGGTTCATTTGATATTAGAAAATTAATCACTGTGATTTAAATTCTAGCAAAATAAATGAGAAAAATTTATTATTGTCTCAATAGATGCAAAAAATTTATTTGATGGCTACCTACTCCAGTGTTCTTGTCTGGGAAATCTCATGGACAGAAGTGCCTGGTGGGATACAGTCCATGGGGCCACAAAGAGTCAGACACAACTGAGCCACTGATCACACACACACACACACACGTAACCATTTATGGTTAAAAACATAAAAGTCTTCATAAACTAGGGATAGAAGAGAACTTCCTTAACCTGGTAAAAGTGGTATTTACAAAAATCAAATTTAAAAGAAATTCACAACTTGTCACAAATATGATCCTTAACAGTGGAATATTAAAATCATCAACTGAGATCAGGAAGGAGGAATCAGTGAGTGGTACCAACGTTCGATTCAGCATGATACTGGAAGAACTTGCAACAGGCCAGAAAAGGAAGTAATGGGGAACTTCCCTGGTGGTCATCACAAGGTCTCGGCGCTCCCGATGCAGGGGGCCCGGGGTCTGCCCCTGCTCAGGGAGCTAGATCCCACTTGCTGCAGTGAAGATGGAAGAGCCGGCGACTAAGACCCAGGGAAGCCATAAGTAAATAAACGATAAAGTATTAAAAAAGAAACAGTGGGCGGCGGAGGCTCCTGCAGCGGTCGCCGACTCTTGGGTGGAGAGTTTCTCTGCGCCCCTCCGACCAGACGCTTTCAGCGCTTTGCTCCGCGCCAGCCTACCTCGCTCTTCGGCGTCATGACCACCACCACCACCTTCAAGGGCGTCGACCCCAACAGCAGAAACAGCTCCCGGGTTTTGCGGCCTCCCGGCGGTGGATCCAATTTTTCGTTGGGTTTTGATGAACCAACAGAACAACCCGTGAGGAGGAACAAGGTGGCCTCCAGCATCTTCGGGACGCCTGAGGAAAAGCCCCTTCCTGGGCCAAGTCGGCAGGTGCCAAGTCTAGTGGGGGCAGGGAAGATTCTGAGTCATCTGGACCCCAGAGAAGGAATTCTTCTGAAGCGAACTCTGGAGACTTCTTAGATCTGAAGGGAGAAGGTGACATTCATGAAAACGTGGACACAGACTTGCAGGCCAGCCTGGGGCAGAGCGAGGAGACGCCTCTGCCTGCCGCCCCTGTACCCAGCCCAGTGGCGCCGGCGCCTGTGCCATCCCGGAGGAACCCCCCTGGCGGCAAGTCCAGCCTCGTCCTGGGTTAGCTCTGTCTGCCCGGAACCCTGTCGTTTTGTTTCTTTGCTTTTTTCCATGCTTGTGAACTGCACAACTTGAGCCTGACTGTACATCTTTTGGATTTGTTTCATTAAGAAAGAAGCACTTTATGTACTGCTGTCTTTTTATTTTTATTTTTTGGAAGAACAGGTTCTCTGTCTGTCCTGATTCCTCTGGGTCTGTAGGCCTTGGCATGAGTGTTTTCTAGTAGTAGATTGGAGGGAAAGCTTTGTGACACTTAGTACCGTGTTTTTAAGAACAAACAATTTGGTTTCAGATGTGTTAGAGGATCTTTTGTACTGAGGTTTTTAAAACCCTTTTTTGGTCAGCTTTACTTGGGTTTACCAAGCCTGGACCGGACAGACCAGTAAACAGCCCACAGGCGCCGTCCCTTCAGGCCCCAAACAAGGTCGTCTTGATGCCGAACCTACCTGCTGTGGCCCTAACTGGTCGGTGCCCTTTGCTAAAAGCATCCTCCTGTGCCACATGGGGCGATAAAAGGCCTGTGCCCTCTGCCTTGCCGCCTGCCAAACAAAAAAAAAGTAAAACAAAAAATTGCCTTTTATTTCTGAACCTTAAGATATATTTAAGCCAGATACTTAACATGACTGGCTGAGCAAAGCCTGCTGCTCCCACGCAGAGGAAGGCTTCGATGTTCACTCAGACTGATGAATTCCACGTGGTGAAGCAGGGGCGGGGTCTTCTTGGGGAAGGGACTCCCTGAGGGCAGTGCTCTTCTTAGATAACTTGAAGCTGTGTGCATGATGCTGGTGCGTGACCATGAAACGAAAGTCTCATCCTTAAACTGTGTGTTGTACTTCACAATCCTGGACTGTTGCTTAAAGTAAATGATGTACACATTTTGAAAAAAAAAAAAAGAAATAGTGGTATAAGCTTAAATATGTACAAACAGTAACTAAAATTATGTATGCAGAAAATCTTAAAAGATATTGACAAACTATTAACAAAATATTAATAAAATACTAATAAATAAGGGAATACTAATAAATACTAATAAATACTAAATAATAAGGGAATTGGGGAAATATTTGAATATATGAAATCAATATACAAAATCAATTATATTTCTATAACAATTGGGACTCCTAACAACTGGAAAATAAAAGTCTTAATTAATAATTTAAAAACAAAAATTTTATTTTATTAAAAATGTAATAAAAAATTGATTGCACTTATATTAAAAATCATTAATTATTTAGTTAGAGTTAAAACTAGTAAAAGTATTCAAGACAACTTAAAAAGTTACAAAAGGGTTATTGAGGGAAATTGAAGAGGACTTAATATATGGAGAAATATGCTAGTTCCTTGGACTGCAAGGAGATCAAACCAGTCAATCCTAAAGGAAATCAGTCTTGAATATTCATTGGAAGGACTGAGGCTGAAGCTGAAACTCCAATACTTTGGCCACCTGATGTGAAGAACTGACTCATTGGAAAAGACCCTAATGCTGGGAAAGATTGAAGGTGGGAGCAGAAGCGGGTGACAGAGGATGAGATGGTTGGATGGCATCACTGACTCAATGACATGAGTCTGAGCAAACTCCGGAAGATGGCGACGGACAGGGAATCCTGGCGTGTTGCAGCCCCTGGGGTCACACAGAGTCGGACACGACTGAGCAACTGAACTGACTGATGCTGTATTCATATACTGAAGAGTCAATACTATAAAAATGTCAATTCTCCCAAAATTAAGCTCTAGATTCAGTGAAATCCAATCTAAACCTCAACAGATATTGTGTGTGTGTGTGTGTGTACTGACAAGATGATCCTCAAATTTATATTGAAATACAAATAGTCATAAATAGTCAAGACTACCTTAGAAAAGAATGACAAAGAGCAAGCACTTGCTCTGCAAGCATGAAGACATTAGTTGCTATAATTAAGACACTGTGGTGATGGTGAGATTGTAGGCAAACAGAGCAAATTAACAACAGAGAGAGCTGAGAAACAGATGTCCCACATCTCTGAAAACCTGATTGCCCATCAAGGTGGCACCGTAGATCAACGCAGAAGGGGTAACATTCTCAAACAGTGCTGGGTCAATTGGACAAACATATAGAACAAGATTAACCTTGATATTTTTCATGCAATTTACAAAAACCAACTCTGTAAAGTTGGGCTCTCACCTGACACCATATTTGTGCTATCCCTGGAAACCTGGGTTTGGGGGGTCCCTGTGTGTGTGAGTGTGAGAGAAAGAAAAAGAAAGTGAGTGTATCGAGTGTGGGTCTATGTGAGTGAAAGTCGCTCAGTCGTGTCCGACTCTTTGCGACCCCATGCACTGTAGCCCGCCAGGCTCCTCTGTCCATGGGTTTCTCCAGACGAGAACACTGCGGTGGGTTGCCGTGCCCTTTTCCAGGGGACCTTCCCCACTCAGGGATCGAAGCCAGGTCTCCTGCACTGGCAGTCGGGTTCTTCTACCGCGGAGCCACCAGGGAAGCTTCCATAGTCTGGCCTTTTCCAGAACGTCATGGAGTTGGAATCATACAGAGGGCAGCATTTTCAGACTGGCTTCTTTCCCTTGGCAGTCTGCATTTGTTAATATGTCTCCTCTGTCTTTTCGGAACCTGCTAAGCTCCGTTCTTTCCAGCACTGACCCTGTGACCGAGGTGGAGCAGGAGATGCTGCAGGCTGGGCTAAGGTCTTCTCAGAGCCTGGCGGTGCTGTGGTCCACTGTGTCAGAACAGGGGCAGGGAAAGCGGGGAGGCTTTGCTAAAGCCCACCCCAGACGTGTGGATGGGGTTCCTGGGGGTTCCTGCAGATGGGCTCTGCCCCCTCAGATGCATCCCTCCCTCCCCTCCCTGGGGGAGCACAGAACAAAGGATCCTGGGTGCTGACAAGGGGACCCCGAGCCACCTCACCCCACACTCTGCCTGGCAAGGAAAGACCATTCTGGGAGGAAAATGCCCACCCCCTAATCCAGCTCTCCCTGAGCCCAGAAGGCCAGTGGTGTCTCCACCCCCTCCACGGGCGGAGGGCTTTGCCGAGGGAGCAGACGGCCTCCTGAACCTCCCCACCAGATGCGAACCGGCTGCAGGTCCTCTCCCCGCCGCCCTCCTGGGCCGAGACAGAGGTGACCCTCCGCGTCTGATGCCAGCCTGAACGGCTCTCACCCCGGGGTCCCCGGCTATTACTCCAGACCTCCTCGGCCTCCCTCCTGGCTTCCTCCTTGGCTTGGCATCATTCATGCTCGCAAAATGAACAGAGGAACAAGCTTTTCACTTGGGGTCACCCCTCGACCGAAGAATTCATGCGAAGTTTTGCAAAACTTGGCCACCGTCAAGATCTGGCCTCCTGAATCCCGGTGGGCTTGGGAGGGCAAGGGCTCAGGGCATCTTGACGGGGCGGGGAGGTGCAGGGGCTGGAGAAGAAACTGACTATATGGACCAGCCCCCAGAGAAGAGAAAGCCCTGTAAACAGCATCAGACACCTCCTCTCTAAAGAGCTTCCAAGAGCTGTTTTTAGGGTCCGCCTCTCACAACACGGGGTGCCCCAGACTGTGCATCTCACCATCACGTCTGAGGCCCAAAGTACAAAGGTCTCTGATGTTTCTTCTTGCAGACGTTTCTTCCCCCCACAATCTGAACTTTTTTCCCCCCAAGGTCCCCCGCTTTCCAGTGAACCCTCTCCCGTCTCTTTTTCTTGCTGAAGCTGCAGATGTACACGACGGCGGTGTGAAAAAAGCTAATTAAACTGCAGCGACTCGGCGGGGGGCAGGCAAGTCCCCACCGCGCTCAGGGCGTGATTGATCCGCACTGTCACTCCGCTCTGCTGGGTGTCATAACTTAGTGACAAACCGGGGAGTACCGAGGCCCAGAGTCACTCTCCCCTTTGTCGTTCGGCAGACATCACAGCGGCGGGGAGTTTTAGTGTTTTTCCTAAGTAGTTAGGGCAGGAGTCGCTCACAGTTTAGAATCTGTGTACGACTCAAGGTGGGGGGTGGGGGAGGGGAAGCACAAAACCACCCCAAAATGATTCATTGGATTTAAAAAAAAAAAAAAGAAGGAAAAGAAAACCAAAGCCGAGCAAAGCAAATGAAACGGAGGCCGGTGGTAGAAGCACGCTCTTGGCAGGGGTTGTTGGAGATTTTGCATTATTTGTCTAAGCCACACGGAGGCCTGCTGGGGCGAGGCACGCCGTCTGGAAATTAGGTTTTTCTAGGGGAAAAAAACGACTATAAACGCTACAGTGCTGGTGGCTTCCTAAGCAAGGGGGTTTATTTTAATCAGTGCAGGAGGAAGCTGGGGGGGGGGTGGCGGCGGTCACAGGGATGTGTTTGAGGGTGAATACCAACAATTACTATCACAAAAATGATTGGAGACTCACCTTATCTTGAAGGTACACAGATCCCCAGAGACAGCACAGTCAAAGCTGGGTTCTCGCAGAATATTCACCTTCAGCACCAGAGCAGGGACCTGAAATCAGAGCCAGACGGGGGAAGCTGCAGTCATGTCGCCCTCGGGATGCGAATGGTTTTCCCGGAAGCACTGAGCCCCTTGAGGGCACTGTTGGGGTCAGGCCTCTGATAAGGCTGGGGGGCACCACGCTCTGTGGGGGCCAGTTCTGCCCGTCACTGAGCAGAGGCGGGCCCTGGACAGGGAGCAGCTCTGCGGCGGCCTCTGGAGGTGGGTGGGTGGACATCAAAGGTGGGGGTACCCAGCCCACGTGGTGAGAGAGGGGCAAAGGCTCTGCTGTGTGAGTCTGGGAGGTCTGTCCACCCCTCCGGGCTTCGGTTTCTCCCTCCTCCACGAAGGGAAATAACCCTTTCTTCCTCACTCAGTGGGCTATGCAAATGTCTTAAGCAGCGCGGATGAGAGTGTTTCCCAAATTAGCCATTAAGTGCATCCATCAGGAAATGGAAACAGGGAAAGAGCATTCTCTATGTGTGCTGGGCAGGTGACATGCGTGAAGGAAGTTATCACGGCAGCACCCATGTGGATCTCCTGTAGCACTTTCATTGAAATTCACTC